AAAAACCAATAGCTCCTTTAGGGAAATTAGTAAAAACAGCATTGTGAGGGAAACATTTTAATATTCACAGACGATGAAGACGAGGAAAATCAAAAACATCCATGGGTGCGTACTGAATGCTGGCAGATTTCTCAAACTGATGTGCTGTGAATTGGAGCTATATAAATAAACTGAATTAAATAACAATTTAAATAAAAAGAGAAAGACAAAACAAACACCTGTCTGTCTAATGAGGATAGAGAGTTAGAAAGAAAATAACTGTTGATCATCATATGGGGAGGGGAGTGGCGGCCTAGTGGTTAGGGCATTGGGCTTTGAATCCTGAGGTTGTGAGTTCGATCCCCCACTCCCACAGACTGCCACTCTGGGTCCCTGAGCAAGACCCTTAACCCCACACTGCTCCCCGGGTGCCTCACAATGGCAGCCCACTGCTCCCCAAGGGGATGGGTTAAATGCAGAGAATTCATTTCGTTGCTCTGTACTTGTGACAGTGGAATGACAAAAAGTTGAATTCTATTCTAATTATATGAAATGGCTTTTAAGTAGAATGATTTTTGCAGGTTTCTTAGCTTAGTTTTATTTTTCTTTAGTTCAGCCTTGAAATCTATAAAAATTTCAAGAAAATTCTCCACAAAAACTCAGTTTTCCACTTGCTGCATAGTTTTAGATTGTCCTGACAGAAGCTCTGAGGAGAAAAAGGGGAGAAAAATATGTCCAGTAGGTAGAATTTATATTGACCATATTGCAAATACTGTCCATAAAACTTGGATTTTTGTGACATGTTTTTATGTTTAAAATTACTTACATTTGTTTGTCTTTATTATGCAAATTTGACGATATTTTGATCTCTTTTGTAATTTACTTTAATTAATAAAATCCTGTATGACCAAATGCTTCCAGATGTCACCTAACTGAAGTGTCAAACATGTTTTGGAGATGCTTTTCTTTGTCTGGGATCAAAAAGTATATCAGAGTTTGGGGACAAATTATACATGTGCTATTAAGGTACTCTGGTCATATTAAACCAAATTTTAGCTGTTGGGCTTACATGCAAAATGATATGTCAGAGAAATGTATCACAAAAGACACTTGTAAAATAAACTTTACAACCAAGTCCACTAAATGAAAACCTGGCAGTGTTTGTAGCTTGTTGCATTTAAATGCTTTTCTTGAGCAAGGACAAACAAACAAAAAGGAACGGATCAAATGAGGTGTAGAGCTTGATAAAGGGAAATACTGTTAAAACTGTTAAACTGTTATCAAATGCAGATGGCATTGAGATGTACAATAGGTGGAGATTCAACCTCTGAATCTCCACCAAGTGCCTTATGCTCAGACCCTGAGCATAAGGCCAAAACTACAATTTATATATACATTTTTCTTTAGATAAAAAACATATATATCAACAACAGGACAGGACAGTTAAGTCTCAACCAAGACCCAAAAATTGACATCCACAAATGCTATTTAATCTTTCTGATTCTAAACTATTTAGGAAAAAGAAATTGGTCAAATCTACAGTCTTTAGATATGCAAAGCTGGACGAAACATACCGCAGTAAACTTGCAGCTGTAACCACAATCATATTTGGCACTGTAAATATATTTGAATCCAAATGCTTTCCATTAAGTACAACAAGAGGCAAAGCCATATGCATCTTGACAAGAGGTAGATAACATTTGTAAAAAGATCACAGCACCAGCAGATGGAGTTAGGGAAAACTTTAATAGTGATGAATCACACATGAGCCTCTGTTCCCTTTCAAATACAGTTGGAGATCAAATAAAGTCATGTAGAGCAGCAGCTACCCCAATCATCATAAAATCATCTGTATTCTAACAGAGGATGGACAATATTTAAACAAAAAGGGTAATAATTGTGTTTTGTCTACACAGAAATGTCCTTTATGCCTTTTTTTTTGTCTCTCTCTGTTAAACTCCCCACATCAAAGGGGGTCAATTCATGCCTTACATCTACATATTTGGTCTGTAACTCATTTAGAAACAATTGGCTACATATTCTCTACATTTGTTAGTTAAGTTTAGTCCTGATTTTGCCACTGTGAGCTCAAGGATACAACTCAAGGATACAACTATAGATTCAAGTGGACACACCTCCCTGTTTTTACTATTAATTGATTTTGAATAAGCCACCAGAGTTTGCTTGTTCTCCCTGAGTTAACCTTTGCTGCTTCAGACATACTTGTTTTTTTAAACCAACACTAAAGATTTCTCCGACAGGACTTATGAAATGCTGTACAATTACTTTTATTGTCAGTAAAGTCTGGTGTTGCAATGTATTTGCATATATTTAAGCATTTATATATAACTTTGACTCTAATTTATAAAAATATTGCTGAATAAATTGAAACTTATCAGCAAGTTTCTTATTTTAAAACAACAGTGAAATTGCTTGTTGAATGACTCTTCCAAACTGATAAAAGACCAGTTTCAAGCATCTTCAAAGTCCAGAGTTAATGTAAAATTCATGCCAATGAAGAGTGCATGTATTTAACAGTTAAGGATGGATTTAAGCCAAAGGAGAAGAAGAACACAACAAAATGAAATGAGGCTTTGTTGCATTTTTTTTTAAAGATTATTAAATGTAATTCATAAATAACATACATCTGTGTTATACAATAAAATGATAATATTGTTAAGAAAAGGCCACATATACCAACATGTTTGATCCAAGAGTTTAGATTTATAAATAAAGTTTCTTCACTAGAGACAAGAGGCTGTATACTGCACCATTTTTATTCTCAGAATATATGAAGCCTTAAATCTTGTGTGGTAAAATAAAGTTTCACTGTCCAAACACAACAACAGCACACTACCCTTAAAATGACAACAAACCCTTAAAACAAAGCAAAAACAAAAAAAAAGGTGTTAAAATACCATCACCTCAGTACTAATAATAAATAATAATAAAACATAATTTTTACTAGTAGTTTGAGCTTTGAGAGTGTTGATCTTATTTACAATATTATTGACCTGGATTAAGCATGCAGATTCAAGCAAAAGGGGAAAAAAGAAGAAAAAAAACCAAAAAAAC